TCCTCCGCGATTGAAGGAACGTGGAAAATGGAGCACGAGGAGCTTCGGAAATGAAGCGCAAGTCGTAGCTGGCCGTCTGATGGAGCCTTCTGGCGCCGCCGTCTGGCTCGGTCGTCGGCGACGGGCTCTGGGGCCCACGTGCGATGATTCTATAAACCGCAGAGACACGCAAATCAGTCTGGATGCCCAGCCCCGCGCGCGCGACAACTGCGACGGCGACGTCGACCACTGCCGCCATTGGCCAAGACAAGAAGCAGCGGTGGACGCGGCGACGGTGGCCAAGCACAGCTCAATAATCGAGGATGGCATGCCCCCAGGATCGTCGCCATGCAGCTCGGTGCTGGAGCACCGCAAGTTAATGCCATATACTAAATGATTGTGCACCCTGCCGCAGTAGCTAGAGCGTTTTGCCAATTTCCTGGAACCACGCGCGCTCGTGCCCAAGCGCCCGTCCAGCGCATTTCCTCGGCCGCGCGAGATGTCGCGCGACGCGCCGAAAAAGAAATAATCGTAATTTCAACAACGATCAATGCTGAAAATACGGCGTCGGCGTGGGCGCCCAGCGCGCCCACTGAATTTAGCGAACCACTGTGCGAGGTGATTATTCGAAGCATCGTTGCAGCGAGTCGCCGCGCCGTAGAACTTGCGCTTGCCTTCGGGGCGCCGGCGCTGCAGGCGGCGGCCAATGACTTGCGATCAGCGACCAGGCCGCGCGCGAGCTTCCACGCTGCAGTCGCGGGCGCGATTTCACTCCGCGGCAGAATCGGCGCGCGCGCCATGGATGGGCCATGGGCGCACCCAGCCAGCGTCGTCGCAACTGAAGCATGCCCCAGCAAGTTGCCGGGCAAACAGGCGCAACTGAAACACGCCCCAACATCTTGTCTCGCACGCAGGCGCGACTGAAACATAAAATAAGCGGGCGGCAGTTGACTTGTGCCACGTGCAGAGTATCAAGCACGTTGGAGGCGAGCGAATATCCTGCTCACTGCCACGACGCATGTCGCCACGCGCAGGCGCATGAAGTAACGCGCAGAAGTGGCCCCGAACGCGCAGCTGCATTGCCCGGAAGGCTGGATTTACCCAATGGCGCACGTAAAAGAAAACCACAGAGCCAAAGATTGAAATTCACCCAACGAAGGGCCCCAGCATGTGACGTTTTGAACATCGCCGTCGTGGGCATCGCCTCTGGTTATTACCTAACAGCTTTTGCTGATAGGTTTCTAGTGGTGTCAAAAGAAAGCATCTGGACTCCACAGGGGGGTCTGGGCGGGTGCCGGGGAGGAGGGCCGGGAACAGAGCCGGGCTCGTTTTAAGCAAACAGTCACACACTTCGTGCTCTTCGACCTCCCAGAACTCCATTCCCGGGCCACATTTTGAATTACCGGAACCAACTGTAAGCCACTTCGTGCTCTTCGACTTCCCAGAACTCCATTCCCGGGCCACATTTTGGATGCCCGGAGCAAACTGTATGCCACTTCGTGCTCTTCGACTTCCCAGAACTCCATTCCCGGGCCACATTTTGGATGCCCGGAGCCAACTGTAAGCCACTTCGTGCTCTTCGAATTCCCAGAACTCCATTCCCGGGCCACATTTTGAATGCCCGGAGCCAACTGTAGGCCACTTCGTGGTCTTCGAGTTCCCAGAACTCCATTCCTGGGCATGATTTTGAATGCCCGAAGCCAACTGTAGGCCACTTCGTGTTCTTCGAGTTCCCAGAATTCCCTTCCCGGGCCACATTTTGAATGCTGAGACAGGCTGAGGCTGAGGCTGAGGCAGGCTGAGGCTGAGGCAGGCTGAGGCTGAGGCCGAGGCTGAAGGCAGACTGAGGCTGAGGCTGCAGGCTGAGGCTGAGGCTGAGGCTGAGGCAGGCTGAGGCTGAGGCTGAGGCAGGCTGGCTGAGGCAGGCTGAGGCTGAGGCGAGGCTGAAGGGCTGAGGCTGAGGCTGAGGCTGAGGCAGGCTGAGGCTGAGGCTGAGGCAGGCTGAGGCTGAGGCTGAGGCTGCAGGCTGAGGCTGAGGCTGAGGCTGAGGCTGAGGCCTGAGGCTGAGGCTGAGGCTGAGGCTGAGGCTGAGGCTGAGGCTGAGGCTGAGGCTGAGGCTGAGGCTGAGGCTGAGGCTGAGGCTGAGGCAGGCTGGCTGAGGCAGGCTGAGGCTGAGGCTGATGCAGGCTGAGGCTGAGGCAGGCTGAGGCTGAGGCCGAGGCTGAAGGCAGACTGAGGCTGAGGCTGAAGCAGGCTGAGGCTGAGGCTGAGGCAGGCTGAGGCTGAGGCAGGCTGAGGCTGAGGCTGAGGCAGGCTGAGGCTGAGGCTGAGGCTGATGCAGGCTGAGGCTGAGGCAGGCTGAGGCTGAGGCCGAGGCTGAAGGCAGACTGAGGCTGAGGCTGAAGCAGGCTGAGGCTGAGGCAGGCAGGCTGAGGCTGAGGCTGAGGCAGGCTGAGGCTGAGGCAGGCTGAGGCTGAGGCTGAGGCTGATGCAGGCTGAGGCTGAGGCAGGCTGAGGCTGAGGCCGAGGCTGAAGGCAGACTGAGGCTGAGGCTGAAGCAGGCTGAGGCTGAGGCTGAGGCAGGCTGAGGCTGAGGCTGAGGCAGGCTGAGGCTGAGGCTGTGACTGCGACTGCCGTTGCCACTGCGACTGTCATCGCGAATGCGACTACGACTGCGAGAACAGCAGAATTCTACAACTGGATTCTCATCCGAATCTTAAGGGGAATGCTTCCAAATATGCTCCTACACATCGCTGTTAGGTTGCTTTGCCGGGATAATTTTTGCATCGGCCAGGAAGCGTAGAAAGGGTGTGCTGAAACGGGGCAGGGGCGCACGCGGGCGCAGCCCTTGGGGACTTCGGCGGCGCCCCATATAATATAGGCCTCGCAAAAGTGCAAGGGGTGCTCCAGAATGGAACGGGGCCGCCATGCGAGCCGCGCCACTGGGGCCTTCGGTGGAGCTTCCCAATGGGTCTACGAAGCGCTGTGCTGGGCGGGGGGGGAATGCGAGCGCTGCCACTGGGGCTTTCGGTGGAGCTCCCCACGGGGCCACAAAGCGCTGCGCTGGGCGGGGGGCCGCGCGCGAACGCCGCCACTGAAGCCTTCGGTCTGCGGGGCCCCCCATGGGGACACGAAGCGCTGCGCTGAATGGGGGAGACGCATGCGAGCGCCGCCACTGGGGTCTTCGGCGCAGACCCCTACAGGGGCCACGAAGCGCTGTGCTCGGCACAGGGAACGCATGCGGACGCAGCCGCTGAGGCCCTCGGTGGAGCTCCCTATACGGACCACAAAACGCAGCACTGGGTGACGGTGACGCATGCGGACGCAGCCAGTGGGGCCTCCGATGGAGCTCCGCACGGGGCCACGAAACGCCATGCTGGGCGGGGGGGGGGGGCACGCGGGCACCGCCACTGGGGCCTTAGGTGGAGCCCCCTTATGGGGCCACGAAACGCTGTGCTGAATTCGGCGAAAGCACGCGGACGCAACCACTGGGGCCGTCGGTGGAGCTCCCCCTGGGGCCGCGGAGCGCTGTTGTGGGTGGGGGGAATGCGTGGGGGCACAGCCACTGGGGCCTTCGGTGGGGCTCTCTATGGGGCCACAAAACGCTGTACTGGGCCAGGGGGACGCATGCGAGCGCCGCCGCTGGGGCCTTCGGTGGGGTTCCCGATGGGGCCACTAAGCGTTGTACTGGGCGGGGGAAGGCATGCGGAAACCGCCGCTGGGGCCTTCGGTGGAACTCGCTATGGGGCCGCGAGACGATGTGCGGCGTGGGCGTGGCGTCTGCGGACACCGCCGACGGGGTCTTCGGTGGAGCTCCCAATGGGTCTACGAAGCGCTGTGCTGGGTGGGAGTGACGCACGCGGGCCGCGCCGCTGGGGCCTTCGGTGGGACCTTTTATGGGGCTGCGAAGCGCTATGCCCGGCGGGGGGGAACGCACGCGGACGCAGCCACCGGGGCCTTCGGGCCCCCTCATGGGGGGCCACGAAACGCTGCGCGGGGCAGGGGAAACGCACGCGGACGCCGCCGTTACGGCCTTCGATGCAGATCCCTACGGGCCCAGGAAGCGCTGCACTCGGCGCGGGGAGCGCACGCGGGCGCCGCCGCTGCGGCCATTGGTGGCGCCCCGTGCGGGGCCGCGGAACGCTGCGCTGGGCGGGGAAAAAAAACTCGCGGACATCGCCACTGGGGCCTACGTGGAGCCCCCATGCGGGGCCACGGAACGCTGCGCCGGGCGGGGCGACGCACGCGGGCAGTGCCACTGGGGCCTTCGGTGGAGAGCCCTATGGGGCCACGAAGCGCTGCTGGACTAGGCGGGGGTGACGCAAGCGGGCGGCGTCACTTGGGCCATCGGTGGAGCTCCAGATGAGACCGCGCTGCGCGCGAGGGAGGACGCGCGGAGAGCAGAGGAACGGGCGCTGATGATGACGACGCGGATAACGATGACGATGGCGAATACGATAACAACAATAACGAAGATAATGATGATGACGACGATGATGATGAGAATGGTGACGATGAGAATGATGATGGTGATGATAATGATGGCGACGATGGCGATGATGATGATGATGGTGATAATGACAGCGATGATGGGAAGAAGGAGGGGGAAGGGGAAGAGAGGAACGTCGACGATGAGGATGCTGACGACGATGGCGACGCCGACGCTGAGGACGATGCAGGAGGGAGGGGGGGGGGAAAGGAAGGAAGGGGGGGCGCGGGGCGCTGTCTCTTCACGCCGAGGACCCACCGCCCCAGGATGGCTGGGAAACAACTGGAGCTCGGAGCAGTGCGGGCCGCAGAAAATAAAGGCGGCAGTAAGATACAAAAAGGTGGTGGCGCAAGAAACGCGCGTGCGATCACGCCGACAAGCCGCCGACCACTGTATCAGCGAGGAGGGCCTGCCAGGAACTCTCGCGCGCGCAGGAATCGGCCCGCCAGGCCCGCGGGGGGGCCAGGCCGCCAACCTTCAAGACGTCGGCGCAAGGAGGTCCAAGTCGAAGTAGCGAGCGTTGGAAACGCACCGTGGATCAAACGCGCGTCGCACAGCGCTGGCCCGAGCGCCGTCTGCCAGCGCTCGGCCGCTCCGATCTCCACGCTAAAATTAGCCTTTTCCTCGCACCTGCGACGCATGAAACATTCCACCGCGCACTGGCTCGGGGCTGGCCGCCAGAGCAACCAGCTCTGCAACCATATCGGTGGGGAACGTTTTTGCTACCACATGCCACTCGTCTTGGCGAAGCTGGGACGCAATTGACAGCCTGGCGACAGAGCAGAGAGGGAGACAAGGGAGGGCGGGAACCGAAGAAAGGCTATGGACTCCAGGGGTCCCCCATTTCAATTGGTTCGTTTCTGACCTGTCTCATCAAGTCATTTCGCTCGCAACCTTCCCGTGCACGCGCTGACTGGTTAACTGCTACATTCGGTGGGGAACGTTTTTGCTACCACATGCCACTCGTCTCGGCGAAACTAGGACGCAATTGACAGCCCAAAATCCCAAAGGGTTCTCTGGGAGAGCGAGGCGGGTTTAAGGAAAGATGCCGCCTCTTGATCTCTCTGGCGGCGCAGTAAACAGTTCACAATGCAGTCAGCCAGCTGCGGAGGATACGAAGCTGCCAGAGATGTCCACGTGGCCCCAGAGGGGGCCTTGCCTTCCAGGATAACGCGGGGCTTCCCTGAAGCCGAGCAAACGCCACCAAAACTGTGGCACCGCCTTTGGGCTTTCAAAGTGTCCTGGGGGTCCACTCCGAAAAAAACAAAAAAAACTGCACGCTTTCTCCAGCGGACCCCAAACTGACGCTGATCACACACTCGAGAATACATGCGATATTGGTCAATAAGAGACGTCAGTTCAGGCGCGCGCCAGGCTCTACTGTTTATCGGATGCTCAAAAACAAAGGGCACCTGCGAGCGGGCAAGCGCCTTCATTAATTTCAACGCGGCTCGACAAGTGGCGTTTCCCTGTGAGATTATCCTAGTCGCGTAATCTGAGGCGTCGGGGAGGCCCCAGGGAAAATCCTTCGAGCGACCCGGCTGACGACCCCGATCAGCCGCAGTTCCCCAAGACGCACAAGGAGGCTCAAGAGACGCGGCTATCACCTCATGCCTAGATATAGCGGCCCTAACACGCGCAAGCACGACTGGTCTAGCAAGGTCCTCATTGGGCCCATTGAGGCTGTCAAAACCATGGTAGTTGAAACCTCGCTTCACAGCGGCCTTATCTATCGAGTTCGAACCCGAGAACAGATCAAGAATGTACTTACGCTGGCGGCCGTGCCGCCTCACAGAGTAATTGTCTCTGCACCTTTTCCGCGCAGTGTGTCCTCTAGATGTAGCTCGCGCTGTGTCAGAGTACCTTGCAGCTGGGACGGCAGGAGAGACCAACTTTGACCCAACCTCGCCGCCTTCTTGTAACGTTGCTTCGGCTTCGCATGCTTCCACTGGCCCCTTGTGTGTGTCTCCTCGATCGTTCTGTATCGTCGAGCGTTGTCTATACTGGGCCCTGAGTATCTGGCTTGATACGGGACAGTGTGCTCTCGAATCTGTGAGTCGCTCAACGCCTTCTTGAACACTGCAAGAAACTGAGGGTAATTGAACGCCCACACCTTTTCTTCGGGATCCCCTCGGGCGAGCTCTCGGAAGATGGGCATGGCACACTGAAACCATCCGCTGTCCAACATCACCCCGACGTCCGACAGTCCTGTCTTGCTTCTCTGGGGCTTGTCGTCTGGAAACCGCAGCAGCGACCACCAGCGGCGCACTCCCATCGCAGGCGCGATGATGTTGCCTCTCGTCAGCGTCAGCAGATGACTGGGCCTGAAGTAGCCGGAGGCCATCGTGAGCAGGAACACCGCCATCTGCAGCGCGCCTCGCACCACCATGCGCCAGGCGAGCCCGCGCCAGAGGGCCAAAGGTCATGCGCGGCGGCTCCGCCCGGGCGCCAGCTTGCGCCATCTTCGGAGGCACCTCCAGGCCCGAGGTGTCTTGTCCTCGCCCTGCTTCGAGAACTCCGGGAACCTGTGCATGAGGCCTGCCATCACCTGATCGCCCTTGGCGCTCTCGTGGCCTTCGAAGAACAGAAGGTTCATGTAGTCGACCATCGCCTCGTCCACTTCTGAGGCCGTGGTCAAGGCCCGCGCTGGGCCCTGATCGCAAAAATCCAGGAAGGCCTCCAGCTCTTGAGTGTAGCGGTTCCTCGCAGGTCCGAACACCGACCGCCTCTCCAGGAACGTCTGGCCCTCCACCGCCGTGCTGTCCTGTGACGCCTCCGCGCCGTACGCACGTCGCCTCCGAACTGCCTTTCTCAGCAGCTCCCTCTCGCGCCTCTCGCCGGCTGGCACGACCTGCTGATCGTCGGAGGCGCTGCTGCCGTCGTCGCTGCCGGCCACGATCGGGCGCGACCAGTCCTGGGGGAGGGCTTGGAGGTCGCGCTCGTGCTCGGGCAGCGTGGGCGCTGGCGGCAGCTCGACCAAGCTCAGCCTGGCCTGCCAGTCCTGCGCTCCCTGGGCCGCGGTGAGCCTCGGCAGGCGCTGCGGCCCTCGGGGGGTCCTGCTGCCCGACTCTCGCGCCACCAGCTGTCGGGAGGTCGGCGCTGCCGGCTCGGCCGACGTGGCCCTCTCCAGCAGTCGCGGTCGCCGCGCCGGAGCCCCAGGCGGAGGCGGCGGGGTCTCCCGCCGCAGTCCTCGGCGCAGCATGCGAGGACGAAGGCCCGTCGAAGGAGCGGGCCTGCAAACAGGTTTGAGCCGAAACGGGATACGAGGACGTCAGACCGCTCCTCGAATACACAGGCTCAGAGCAAACGTGGGCATCAAGACACCAGTCAGACTTCTCGGGCAACTCGGGCAGAACAAACTGAGCTCTCTGAGGGTCACGCTGCAACGGGCACTGCACAGAATTCCCAGGCGGGTAAGAATGGAAGGGAGCGCGAACCTCAGGGGGACCTTTAGACCTGGACTCCTCTGAAAAAATGTATCGGGAAGAAGTGCACCAAGAGACTCCTTGGCTCCTTTCTTATCAAAAGCACGAGACCCATAATCGGCGGGATTCAACTCAGACGGAACCCACCTCACAGACACCTTCAGATTCCTTGCGAGACAGCAAGCTTGAAACCTGCGGACCTGGACGAGGAGAGCAAACTCTTTCGCGCGACTCCTGTTGAAAGACAGTACAACTGACATGTTATCCGACAGAATCAGCTGACGGCAGGCAGCACCGAACACAGACTGGGCGATGCGACGGACGCCCATCACCAGTGCTCGGGCCCCCTGAATAAGGATGCCCTCCTCGAATCGCCAGCGCTGCACCTGCTTGGTGCGCCAGCGGCTACTCGCCAAGCCCGCGGCGGGCACCTCGGGGAAGGACGGGTCTGCCTCCCACGCAGCGGCCTGCTCGTCGCTGTCGATCGCGCCCTCGGCCAGCCGCCACTCGCCATCGGCGTCGCGCCAGAAGCCAGCCGCCTCCAGCGCCGCCTTTCGCGCGCCGCGGCGGGCAGCAGGAGCGCCCCCGGCAGCGCCGTCGGCCTCGACCGCCGCGGGCTCCCGGAAGCGGGCGCGCTCCTGCACGCGGCCCGCCTCGGCCACCAGCGATCGGGGCCAACGGGTGGTCGAGACAGCTCCTGCCTCCAGGCTGCTGTCGGTCGCCACCACCAGATCGTTCCACTGCAGCGTCCAGTCACTCTCTAAGAAGATGAGGAGGCCTCGGAACGTCTCGAGCTCCTGGCGGGCTTCGAGCCACAGCATCCTAGGTTCGGCATTAGACGCCCGCATGAAAGCATAGACCGCATGGAATACGCTCAACGTGCCTCTGCTCAGCAATCCCGCAAACGCGCAGTGGCCCACCAGGACCTCAACCGCCCAGCCCGTGAGACGGCGGCGTCGCAGGAGGCCGTTCAGGGCCTGTCGAATGAGCCAGAACCGCTTCTGCGTCACTCTCGCCCTCCAGAGGGCCCCCGAAACCTCACCTCGGTGCCCGCGGAGCTGCCGTGGAGGAGGAGGCCGCGCTGGTCCAAGCCCTCAACCAGCTGCGCGATCGCATCGGTGACGATGGGCTCGTCGGTGGAGGCCACACCCAGGTTGTCGACGTACACGCAGTGCGAAACGTGGCCCTTGGAGACGCTGGGACCGAAGACAGGGGGCCTGCCACGGTCAGCCAGGGGGCCCTCGCGCAGCTGCGGGCAGATGGAGCTCGCCTGGTACTCGTTGATCCGCTGGGCAGCCCACAAGCTCCACGTGAAGCCCATTGGGAAGACGGCCCAGCGCGGACTCACCAGATCGTGCCTCTCCAGCGTCCTGCCTTCCCAGATCTGGCCCTCCGCGCCAAGCAAGTACGCTGGCACGACGGGTAAGCAGAACTACTCGGAGAGCCATCCAGGAAGTCGCAACCTGCGGAAGCAGTCCTTCACGTCGGCCAGGCTCACGTGCAAAGAATAGCTGCCGAGGGGCCGCTCCGCCTCCTCGCTCCATGGGCCCAGGCCATCTGGCAGGGCGATCTCGACTCGGCTGAGGCCCTTCGCGCTCAAGAGGCTGACGCCCGGCGGCGGCTCGAAGAGAAGGTTCGCGGGCCTGGCGTCAAGGATGAGCCTGAGCCGCTGACCTCCGTCCTTCTCGACGAAGAAGAGGCCAACCTGGCGGCGCGGACGCGTGGTCCAGCCGACCAAGCCGCGTCGGCGCAGGTCGATGATGAACTGTCTGTAGGTCTTCACGCTGCGCTTTAGCGCGGGGTCGAAGTAAGGTGTCACGGTAGAAGAGGGACTGTCAGCGCGCAGCATGCGCTCGGGATGCCCCTTCAGGAATCGCTGGACCTCTGGAGGGGCCACGTCCTCAAACGGCGGGCAGCCCTCCACTGTCTCGGGTAACGAGACAAGGCCCTTTCTGAAAGGCGCGACACGGGTGAGGCATCCCGCCCCATCGCGCGGTGCATGCCCGCGCAGCAGCCGGCGGACGGCCGCGCGTTCACTGAGAGCGTCAGGACCCGGGTACCGCCGCGAGGCTAGCTCGCAGATCCGCTCCAAAACTTCAAGCTGCATCGGGTCGGGATCGAAATGGGCCGGTCCGCCCCGAAAGCCAGCAAGCCAGTTCAGAGCACCCACCGCCTCGTTACCCATCTTGAACACCAGCCTCTCGCGCCGCCGCAGGGCCATACTCCGAACGGAGTCGGCCACGGGCAGCTCAGGCAGGCGCCAGCGCGGCAGCGGGAACAGCTCCCTGGCACTGCGCGAGGCGGCAAGCCGACCCCGCGTCACCCCTGAATCTCGGCCGGGGACGGGGTCCCCCCCGGCCGTAGGGGCCATCATTGCCCCTTGGGGGGAGCGTCAGCCCCCCCCGCGCCTCCCTTCGTGTTCTTCGGTGGCGGGCGCCCCAGCTGACCCTTGCCGCCGTCGTCGGCGGTGCCGTCGCCCTCGGTGCGCTGCGGGCCCTTGCCATGCGAGAGCACCGCCCGGGCCTCCTGCTGCTCCTTGATCTTCCTGGTGGCGAACTGCAGCAGGGCCTGACCCGCGATGTCGTCTGAAGACGCGGCGCCAGTGTACAGGCGGGCGCGGCCCCACACAGGCTTGGCCGGGTCGGAGTGCACCGCTACCAGCCCCGCGATCCTCCTCGCCGCCGTCTCCAGGCACATCAGGCCGCCTAGATTCACTTGGTCGTAGACCGCGGCCCAGAAGAGGATGTCGCAGAGAGCGCGCATCTCATGCGCCACTCTGTCATTGTCGCCGATGCCCTTGGACCTCAGGAAGTCCCTCAGCCAGGATCCGGGGTCGCCGTTCGCACGCTCCTTGTCGGAGCGATCCACGGCGTTGCCCACCGCCGCGCTCTCTCCGTGGGCTCGGCCACCGCCCAGACGCGGTCGTCCTCCAGAGGGGCAGGGGGCTGCTTCCCTCGCTGACGCCGCAACGCTGGCCGCCTCGCCTCGCCGAAGAAGTCCGCCCGCTCCACCAGCCTGTCGCCCGGGCACGCTACCTCAACAGGCGGCCCGGGCGCGATGCCCGGCAGACGTTCCTCCACCAGCGCGCGGCCACGCATGGTCGCCGCCTTGAGCTCCTGATCCGAGAGGGCCGCCCGAAGGCGGTAGATCGGCCGCGGCCGGCCCTCGGGCGCGCCTTCGCCTGCTGGCATCAGGGCCGCGCCCTCGGGCCCAGTTTGCGGGCTCGCGCCGGTGTAGTCCTCCTCGCACTCGTCGCCGTCAGGAGTCAACGCGGCCCAGGTGCCCGGCGGCCAGCTCGGGTACAGGAGCACGCGTTCGTGGTCCACCTGATCGTCACTATATCTTACGACGAGCCGCTGGCCCGGCAGTAGCCGCCTCCACCATTCCAGCCCCTCGTCTCGCGGGAGCAGCGCCATCACGCCCTCCGATCACGGCCTCCGCAGCCTTGGGCCTTCGGCCACAGCAGCCTCGCAAGGCGCGGTACGCCTCCAGCAGCAGCGCCACCAGCACGCCAGGGACCGCCGCCACGAGGGCGCCGAGCGGGTCCGCCTCAGGCTCCGCCTGAGCCTGCGCCAGCTTGGGGGCCGGGCAGACGGCGGGAGTCGCCTCGCAAGGCGGCGCCTCGGGACAAGGAGGACAAGCGTCTCCTCCGTCCCCGGGCGGCAGCCACGCGGGCGGGCACACGACCTCCAGCGCGCAGGGCGGCAGCCCAGCCGATGGGCGCGGTCCCGCGGGCGAGAGGAGCGAGGAGATGTGGAGAAACCCCAGCGCGAGGACAGCCCAGTGGCCCGCTGGGACCCGGGCCATCTCGAACCGAAGAAAGGCTATGGAGTCCAGGGGTCCCCCATTTAATTGGTTCGTTTCTACCCTGTCTAATCAAGTCATTTCGCTCACAACCTTCCCGTGCACGCACTGACATACTTCTGACGTGGGGTGCGGAAGGGGGGGGGGGGGGGCGGTCCTTGTTCCGCGCTGCAACGATACTGTCGATGATGCAACAGTCGTACCCTGACGCGCAACTAGAGCAGGAAACTGCATCGGATGCGCTCGCTGCGATCGCGCGCAGCTCGCCCTATCCCCCGCCTGTAGCCCCGCGTTGCCCGCCTGGCTCTCCAAAACGGCCTGGGATGCCCCCAAAACAACCCCAGAACAATCAAAGGCGCCTCCAAGCACAAACCAAGACGGCCGGCGAGCGCCCCGAAACGGCCGAACAGGCACCCAAGACGGCCCGGGGGGGGGGGGCCCAAGACTGCCCCAAAAGGGGCCCACGAGAGGGAACACGAAACGAAAATCTGAACCTTCCGCCCCAAGGCCCCCTGGAGGCCCCAAGGGGCGCCAGGAAAATCCCGGGGGGGGGCCCAAAAGGCACCCGAGAATCACCGAGAGACCCTCGAGAGATCCGAACAAGCCCCACAAGGCACAAAACAGGCCCTCAAGAAGCTTCAAAACTGCCTCCGCGGACCCCGAGAGGCCTTCCACGAGATCCCAACGAACATCCATTGGTCTTCATACACACAACCAAGGCGCGGCGGCGGGGTGGGCCGAACGCCACTCGATTAATTCACACACACACACACACACACACACACACACACACACACACGCCCGACCGGCGATAAAGCCCGGCTGCCGCGCCCCCCGCCACCGCCATCCGCGTCAAACAAAATCGCGGAAAAATGCAAGGAACATTTGGGTCAATTTCGGGATTTGTTGGGTCACTTTTGGGACAAACGCGGCAAAAATGCCACGCACAGCGCACTATGCGGGAAAAATTGGGACAAGCTCGGGGCCCCGCGAGCACTTCGCCCCTCTCGTTGGCCGGGGGCGCGGGGGGGCCGGCGCGCGGCCGGCTGCGCGCAGTGCCGCTATATCCTTGCCAGCGACAGCCCGCCACCGTGCCCGCGGCGCGCTGAGGCGCGGAAGATGGCCGAGGGCTGCCTGGCACGGCTACTGTTAGCTCCCACTGACAGCCGTGTACAAGTGGGGCGATTTGCCAGACGGGGGCCGCCGCATAATCTCCGCGAGGCCAGGGTCTGAACTTCGGGGAGGCGCGACGGTGCGAGCGCGCCCAGGCGCGGCCAGTGGGAAGACCGCCGCGACGGCGAGGACGACGGCAAAAGCAGAGGCGACGACGGCAGCGGCGGCGACAGCGACACACGACAAGGGGGGCGGCGGCGACGACAGCGTCGACGACGACGGCGACGTCGGCGACGGCGACGGCGGCGGCGGCAGCGAGGGCGACGACGACGACGACTACGACGACGGGGCAAGCGACGGCGAGATCCAATGTTCAAAACGCGCGACGTGCAAAACGCCGGGACCAGGAGGGGCATGTAAATCAAATTCCAAAAGGGATGCCTTGTTAAAATTCTAGACGGCGCCCCCGCCTGTCACGCCTGCCCCACGCCCCTGCGCAAGTCGCCCTCGAAGAACTTCGCTACCCTCATTGCGCATTATACAGGGGCGCAGTGGTCCGACGGAGTTCGCCCAAACTGAGTTCGCCCACAAAACCATCGAAGTCGCATCGGGTCCGACCGACGAGCAACAGATCCCCGCGTCGGATTCGCAATGGATCCGCGACGGGACCCGACGCCCGAGGCGAGGTTGACACTTCCGAACGGGTGCCCTCGTCACTGTCTTCAGGGGGCCCTGCGTTCGTTTTCGGGTGCCCGATGCTTCGCCCCACCTGGACCGGCTGCGCCGACGGTCTGGCGCCTTCGTGCGATTTGAGACTTCGGGCCGAGCCCTCAAATCGCACCAACTTACCTGACTGTCTGTAGCGGGCAATCGGGCAAAGTTGGCGCGACTTGCCAGACTGGGAGGGTCCCTGAATGCACGCGCGACCAGGGTCTGAACCTCAGGAAGGCGCGGTGGTGCGAGCGCGCCCAGGCACGGCCAGTGGGAAGACCGCCACGACGGCGACGGCGAGGCACAGGCGACGACGACGGCGGCGGCGACAGCGACGGACGACGAGGGGGCGGCGGCGACGAAGGCGGCGACGACGACGATGACGACGGCGACGTCGGCGACTGCGACGGCGAGGCCCGGCGCTCAGAACGCGCGACAGGCAGGACGCCGGAGCCCAAGGAGCAGCGAAGTCAATTCCAGAAGGAGCGCCGCTGTAAAACTCTAGACGGCGCCCCCCCTGCCGCGCCTGCCCCGCGCCCAGGACCTGCCGCCGCGCTCTCTTTCCCCAGGCTGGCTGGGCCGACGGCCCCTGGACTGGCTGGGCCGACAGTCCGGCGCCGTCGCGCGATTTGAAACTTCTTGCCGAATTCTCACGTCGTGCCCTCTCACCTGTCTGCAAGGACCCCCCCGCCCGCTCCTGCAGCGCCCGGGTGACTGCGCCGCCCCTGCTCCTGGGGGGGGCCCTCGGCGGCCACAGCGCCTCCCTGGGGCTCCCCGAGGCTTCCGCGGCGGCCCGGGAGGCACGGCCCCAGAGTGCCCCGAGTCGCCGAACGATCGATCGCAGAAGCCCAAGATGTCGTCAAGATGGCTCATGCGGCCTTCAAGACGCCCCAGGAGGCCTCCAATATGCCTCCCAACATGGCCCCGAGATGCAATGCGCGTTCTCCCAGGTTTTGAACATGTGCCGCGCCATCGCCCCCCGGGCCGCACGACGCTCAAGACGGCCCGGAAGCCCCCGAGGCCGCCCGAAAACGGCCCGACAGACCCCCGAGAGTGCCCCGAGACGGCCGAAGATTCCAAGACGGCCCAGGAGGCACCCAAGGCGGCCCAAGAGGGCCCCGAAATGGCCCCCAAAGCGACCCCAGAAGGAAATCGAACCGAAAACTTAAACCTCCCGCCCGAAGAAACCACCAGGAAGCATCAAGAGGCGCCCAGTGGGCCCCAGAGCCCCCCAAGAGGCCGCAAAAGGCACAAAAAAAAGAGGCGATGGTGGAATAGTTGTGCAAATTGACCAGCTGACCGGTTGACCAACTGACCGGCTGACCGGCTGACCGGCTGACCGGCTGACCGGTTGACCGGTTGACCGGCTGACCGGCTGACCGGTCGACCGGTCGACCGGCTGACCGGCTGACCGGTTGACCAATTGACCGGCTGACCGGCTGACCGGCTGACCGGTTGGCCGCGTGAAGAAGCTGATGAAGGCGCTGACCAGCTGACCGGTTGACCGGCTGACCGGCTGACCGGCTGACCGATTGACCGGATGACCGGTTGACCGGCTGACCGGCTGACCGGCTGACCGGCTGACCGGTTGACCGGCTGACCGGTTGACCGGCTGACCGGCTGACCGGCTGACCGGCTGACCGGTTGACCGGCTGACCGGCTGACCAGCTGACCGGCTGACCTCTTGACCGGCTGACCGGCTGACCGGCTGACCGGCTGACTGGTTGACCGGCTGACTGGTTGACCGGCTGACCGGCTGACCGGCTGACCGGCTGACCCGCTGACCGCGGCTGACCGGCTGACCGGCTGACCGGTTGACCAGCAGACCGGTTGACGGGCTGACCGGCTGACCGGACCGGTTGACCGGCTGACCGGCTGACCGGCTGACATGGCTGACCGTTTGACCGGCTGACCGGTTGACCGGCTGACCAACTGACCGGCTGCGACCGGCTGACCGGTTGACCGGTTGACCGGCTGACCGGTTGACAAGCTGACCGGGTGAC